TAGACTCGAAGCAGCTGCTCTCTGCCATTCCTCCTCCCTCCCCACCCCAGCTCTGCTGCTGAGCAGCGAGTTCCACGTGGGCGCTGTGAACAGAAGTGTCAAAGCAGTGTCCTGGCTCCCAGGCTGGGGGGCTTATGTACTGATGCCTGCCACCCCCACCCCCAGCCAGCCCCATGGCTCCATCTGAGAGCACGAAGCCATCCTGGTGCCCACGCGCCAGGCCTGCACGGAGGCCCTTCTGTAGCACTCTGTGCTCTGACGAGGTCCTCTGTGCTGGCACCGGCATTCTTCTCTGGACCTTCTCTCCCCAAGGCAGGAAGCAACAAGCTTTGCTCTCTATATTCCCAGTCTGAGAAACTCAGTAGATGCTCAGTAAATTTCGCTGAATGAACTAAAACACATCAATAATAATAGAAACACTTATATAGTATGCACCATGCACCAGCAGGCTTCTAAGCACCCAGCGCCCACCCCGGGACTTGGCACTTCCACGCAACCCTCCACGGGGCAAACTGAATACGGGTTCCCACCAGAAGCGGGCTGGGCCTCTTGGGATGACGACCCCTAGAAGGGGAAAACCTCCCTGCGCTGGAGGGGGCACCTTCTAAAGTGCCACCAGCCCCTTCTAAAGGGGTGGGTGGCCTTAAAGCAGGGGTCTCGGGGAGCCAAGAAATATTCTCAAACTTACCCAGGCTATGACAGTGGCAACTCAGGGCTGGGGGATAGAAGCAGCTGGGTCCCAAGAGACCAGCTCACCCACAAATCCTAACTCTAATATTTGATGTGTCCACATCTGGGAAGAGACCCAAGAAACTGTACTGTGGTCACCTCTAGGGAGGGAAAGGGGACAGCTTGGGGCCAGAGAGACTGATTAGGTTTTCAACGTAACCAAAAAAAATTAAGTATATATTTGACTTGAATAAAAACTTCTGAGTTTAGCCTTTTAAACCTCTAAGATTGTAGATCCTTCTAAGACTAAGACTGTGATTCTCAGAGGCTGCTGGCAAGGATTTGGGGGTCAGCGGCCCTTGAGGATGACAGCTGCTGTGGCTGGTGCTCTGGCGCCCCCTCACGGACACGGCCCTCCTCACACCCCCGGGAGAACAGGGCCCTTTTATCAAAATCTGATTGCTTGGGGCCAAAAAAAAGACCAAGGCCCAGGACAAGGTTAGAGAACCACTGGCTGCTGATGTTAGCAGCTCTTGACGGTGCCTTATTGACCTTATTAAGCGCAGGCACCGCCTGCTGAGTGACAGCCAGCGCCCACACTGAAAGTGCTGTGTTATTTACCTTCATCTTCCCACACCTCAATGTGCATTGTTATTATCCTTGTAAAATGTGCGGAAACAGAGGACTAGGGAGATAAAGAAACTGGACCAGTTAGCGGTGTCCTTAGGATTCAGATTCAAGCCTCTGACCTCGCCCTTCACTCCGCAAGGATCAGTAACTGTAACTTTCATTCATCATGATCCTGCCTCATTCCCGAGCCGGACGTCAGGCCCTGAGCTTAACAGCTGGGTGACAAACCGCCCTCTCTGAACTTGTTTCCTTATCTGGAAAATGGGTAGGGCTTTTGCTGCGTTCACGCTGAAAATCCCGCATCCCGGGAACCTCAATTCTCGGCAAACCAGGGCGGTTGGACCCCCTAAAAGTGCGGAAATAAAGAAGAGTTGTGGTCACAGCTGAATGACATGAAAAGCACCCACTGGCCCTGCTTTTTTTTTTTTTACTCGTTAACCGTAATACATGCCCTGAATTTTGAGCCCACTTGGAAATGTTTCTAACTTCAGTATCAGCATACGCTTGGAACAACTATGTGCCAGGCACAGTCCTCCGAGCTTTGTGGACATGAACCCATGTCATCCTCACACTCCTCTGTATGAGATGGGCGCTAACAATCCCCATTTCACAGGTGAGGAAATTAAGGTTCAGAAAGTGCCCCAAGGTCACAAGCTAGAAAGTGGCAGAGCTGGGATTTGAACCCAGGCCATCTGGTTCAGCCCATGCTCTTAAACGCTATGCTTTATTGCTTCATATTTTAAGTGAAAAATGCTTACCTTTGATCTACATATTTCCAAACGTTGTATTAGAAATCATTGTAATAGACTCTTTGGCCAAACTGTGTTTTAAAACAAATGCCTGGTTTTACTCATCAATTTGAAGCTTGTATTAAATCATTTATTGTCAAATAAATACAAAACTGACATATTCATGTTTAAATATATCTATGAAAAACACAGAAACTTCTATCACGAGCCGATATTTAGAATACTGGTCTTTTACATTTTTTAAATTCAATATTTTTTTGTGGTTTTGTTTCTTAAAAGCAAAAGAATGGGTTTTAGGCTGCTACTTGCAAGCACTTCTCTACGACGCATTTTGTATGTGGACCGTCTTTATTTCCAATGAGTAAAAACCCAAACTGATATAATCTTCACTACATTTTCCTTTATAATATTGCCAGTGGCCCAATATGGGTATAAATTAAATAATATGTGATTAAGAACAATTAAAACCGCTTACGTTTCCAAACCAACGCGCAGAGGTACTGAATCATGAGCAAGCTCATCTGACCCCTCCTGGATTTTGGCCTGGAGATGGAGGTACAGGTAGATCTCTTAATGGGACAGACAGAAGTAGCAGGGGCAGGGGGCGCCAGGAGAGGCCCTGAAGCCCTGAGTATCCCAAGGTAGGAAAGGTGAGAACGCGGAGCCCTGAGGTAGAGAAAATAGAAGCTCAGACCTCCTAGACATCTCTTCATCTATCACCTCAATTAACCTCCGCCACCCCAAGGAAAGAAGGAGGAGAAAAGGAAGAGAGATTAAGCAACTTGCTCAGCAGAGGGACATGTCCACAGTATGGCACGCAACAGGCCAGGGGAGGAGAAGGGACCTGAGAGCAGCGGGTCGGTCTCCCCAGTGAAGACCAGCCACATCTGCAGCAGCTGGGGCAGCTTGGAAACCAAGCCCCCGCCCAGGTTATGATCCTTCTGGTCAGATTTCACTAAGACCCTGGCCCACTCCCCAGCCGTGACTCCCAGACCGAGAGGCCCCCTCTCCTGACAGCTCGCACGGCCTCCCACTGGCCCATAACCTCCCCCAAAAGTCTGGCTGGTGAGAAGAGCACTCTGCTCACCTCCATT